AAAAAGGGGAAATTTATCACTTGGATAAAACATGCTAGAAACAATTTATGTAATAGTCCCCCCCACTTTTTCAGAAAGTTGGTCCTTAAGATTCTTGCAAACCCGATGAGAAAACCTCAGGGGGGGGGGGGGTATGTTCGTTATCTAGATCGTCACATGTAAAGGACATTTCTTGGGAGACAACAGATGTTTCCTCCGGAAGAAAAAGTTTCAAACAGGGGAATGGACCTGGTCCAAAGGACGTGGTCCCTGACAAACTTTTTGTCCCCCCACTTATCCCAGGCTGGAGCCGCCACTGTAAATTATGGATTTGTAACCTTTGTATTGTCTAATTAAATCGGAATTTTACAATGTAACAATGAATTCTCCAATGGATTCAAGCTAAAGAACTACTATGTCATTTTTGTCGTGTACTGGTTTTAAGTTCCATTATCAAGCTGTGCTTCCCAAAGTCTGAATCTATCAACCAGGATATTTTCTAAGTGTTTGGTACGTATATTTTGACGGGACCAGGCATGACCGCATCTGAAATTAAGTTGTTAAGTATAACCGTAGTATGTTATCAATATGATAGTAATTGATTATAAACATTGTTATGAGTATAATTTTGCCTTTTCTTCATTTGTCAATTGGTTCAATTTTAATCCGTTTTGGAAGCTAGATTTTAATGAATTTGCTAATTATTCGCCTCAAAGTAATATCTAGTATAACGTTCGTAATAAAGATTTCGTAGATAGCTAAAAATCAACTCACTTTTTATCGCCTTCAAGGAAGGTGTTAATCTGAACCTTGTGACGTATACACCCAGTATATATCACTGGCTTAAATGTGCCATCTACTTTACGGTAAACTGATGCTGTGCCAATTTTGAATTCTATCTGACAGTGTTGGGTTTCTGCCGTTTGATCAGGGTCAGATGATTTAGAAAGATCGAACACCACAATGTCGTTGATGCCAACGGAAGAGGGCACTATATATGAAAAGGCAAAGAATGTTAGGTGAATTTTCATGCAGTATTTGTTAGGGAGACGAGCAAGAGAAATTTTCAAATTAGTCAAGCGACATTCCGTCCTGTATTATTACGGAAGTATCATTACGTAGAATCTTTCAATATAGGACGAAAGGTTGCCCCATTCATTTGAAGATTTTCGCTCGCTTGTCTCCCCGACAAGTACAACCAAATCAATTAGCTTATCAGTTCATTTGATATCATCACAGGTTCTAATTAGGTCATCACCAGCTTGCTCAATGCAAAATGAATCTGCTAAAATGGGTCGATCAAATTCAATCGATGATAAGAAAAAGACATGAACAACAAAATCAACAATATTTACAACATCAACAATTAACAACAACAACAACAATTTTTAGCATTACATTAAATGTAGGCCAAAGTTTTAGATAAAGTGACAATTTACTTATAAGACGCGCTACAAGAGGTGATGCAACAGTAAGAATAGTTATTGTTGCAGTCGCTGTGGAGTCGGGGTCCGTGGCCAAGGCGGCAGTAACAGTGAATTGATATCTCTGCAAAGGAATTAAACAAGAATAAGTTATGTGGACTTAATCAACTCTGTAAATTATTTGCCAAATTCACTGTCGAAAATGGTTTTAAAAACATACCAGATATAGACAATTTGCTATCGGCTGGTGTTGGGAAAAGATTGAGAGAAATTCTTATACGCGAGCATGTTACATCAAATTGTCAAACGTAGTAGGTGTATCGGCAGTCGTAATTTTTGTTTAAGATTGAATTGATTCTTAGTTATGAGGAGATTACTTTTAAAAGAACTTCTCCTAAAACAAGCATATTTAAGACAAGTTCTTTGAGTGTGGGTGCTAGGAGTAGTAGTATCTTGGCTCCTGTGATGCAGGGGCGTCACCAAAGGGGGCTAAGGGAGCGCTTTGTCTGTCGGCTCAAAAAGCATTCTCGCCCTGTATTATGGATGGAATTATGGGTCTTCGCACAGTTATTGGGACGTCTTGGCCTTGTCTGGAGCTGTCCTGTGTCGTTAGAAGGGGAGGGGGGAGGGGAGTTGCCTCTAAACGTATTCTTGTTCTCTGTCGTAAGCTATATCATTTTTATTAACATTATTCTTAGTGCACGATGAAGGGCACAGTTGCAGTGGTACAACCTTCCCCTATATTGATTGCTCATTTGTCATATTGTGGGTCAGTTGTTGAATCTGTAATCTTAGATTTATTTAGATATATTTGTATTTGAATGAAGAAACTTGGAACTTGGTTTGTAAAGTGTCAGGCATACAATACGATAAGGGCAATGTATAATTTCTGTGGTAGACTAGTTTCTGTGGTAGTGTGGTAGATCAGTTTCTAGAGACGTATTATCCATTCAAGACAATCATAAGCGCTGAAGAATTACTTCAGTACCATTGGTATGTTGGAAATTATTGAATTAAATTGCAGTAGCCTGAAATTTCAGTCAAATTATGATATGGTACTTCAAAGAAATCCAGATAAACCGTCCAAAAATACAATGCCTATTAAAGTGCTCTTGAAGAATAAAACATTTATTTTGAAGCATTTCATGAGCAAGGATTCTTACCAAACCAGGTTTCATGGTCCTAGGTGGAAGATAAAGGTTCCTTGCGTTAGGAAGACTAATCGTTGATCCATTGCTACTGTACCAATTGTACAAGATTTTGCTTTCTACGCCACAGCTGGCATCAATCGTCGCTTGCGCTAAAAAGAAAAAAATGCTCTTTCATTTTCATATCATTGAAGGAAGGTTGCCCTTCAGAAAAAACTGGGTTCTAAGAGGTCCTCCATTTAATTCATTATCTGTTTTAAAAAACAACATTTGTGTGTAATCATTCAATAACAAAAAAGGATAACAACAGTCATTCATTCATTCTATCATTTAGACCCTGTTTACACGTGTCCTGGACCAGATCAGATCAAAAAATATCCAGATACTTGGGGATACGATCCCATGCGTTTACACGGGATCCGATTCCAAACCATTTGCGTTGACACGGGATCCGATTCCAAACCATTTGCGTTGACACAGGATCTCGTATATCCGTAAACTGTTGGATCCGCTATCCGGGATCGGATCGAGTTGAGATCTACAGATTATTCGCATGTGCACCACGGAATACATGTTAAAAGTACCTCAAATTGACAACTATTATCTCACACTTTCGAATAAAAATGTAAACAGATCCGACCTGGTCGATCTGGACCAGATCTCGCAATTTGCATGGGATCCGGTCTAGATCGGATCCATTCCATACGGTCCGCATCGGATCGGAGAGGGATCCCGAGAGGGTTCGGATAGCGGATCCAACAGTTTACGGAAATACGAGATCCCGTGTAAACGCAAGGCCTGGGATCCACCTTCGTGTAAACGGGGTCTTAACGGTAGCATTGAATGGCGGAAACACGTCGTTTTACAATCATCAGAGAAAGTCGGATGTTGACTAAAGGTAAGATGATCGAAAGTAACGTATTTTCATTTAGGTGTTTTTTTAAATCTGTCTACATAAAAAAATATCTTGACCGGTGAAAGAGGAAACAGTTTCTCTTCTCTCTTGGATTTTCCAACTAGATGATTGCTGGTTAATGGTTGCTGATTGGTCAAAGCAAGAACCAATCAATAGCATCATTCTTCCGCTCACGTTACTTTCAACCTGCCTTTGGATATGAAGTTCTGCATACATTTGGTCACTATCCGACATTAATACACCCATTCTACCATATATGAAATAATGCCCATAATCTGCTTTCACTTTTGCCCATTAAAAATGCTTTACTATATAATTGTTGCTACTTTCAGTAACTGCCATGCTTGAAATGTGTGCTGTGTATCATGTGAGTTGTGTTGTTCTAGAAATCAAACATCTGCTCATTTATTACCTTACTGCTCAACAGATCCAAATAGCTACACTAAAGGTCGAGCAAGAAAGCAAAATATTGTTTTGTACCTTCAATTAGCAGAACTTCGGAAATAATGTGTGTCCTTTTTGTCTTTCCCACCTCTATTGATGGCTTGATTCTGCTTGCCCTAATGACAATTTTCGAATCATGACCTTGCATTCCTAAGAAGTTTTTGACTGTCAGTTTGAAGGTGATTGGGATATTCACCAGTCCGGCTTTTTTTGGGAGTGTAACCACCCGGGCAGTAGTTGGCAAGGCGCTGAGCAAGTTACGGTAATCGACGAGGTCTGGATGCGACGAATTAACATCGTTGTTGACGCTAAGGCTCCAATAAAACTCCAATGGACGACCTCCACCTCCCGAAGACTGTCGTCCTACCAGCTTGATTCCAGCACAATTAGCTGTGGAACAGATTGTGTATCAGATAGATTATGCTAACTAATGCTATGTTGATGATGCAATAAGGAGTCATTTAGAGCAAAGCTAGGCTTAAAACTTTAAAGATGAAATATGGAGGAGAGCTAGACATTAGACTGATTTTGAACTTTTTGTTTTTATATTTTGGAAAGCTTTTTATTTCAAAAACCACAATATCTGAATAATAGTTATTATGATATAATATTTTTATAAAAAGATTAATATCTATAATAGGTTTTTTATTATCATTAGTTTTGATTATATTGATTCCTAAAACTCCACTTAAAATTCCCAAAAGGATTAAGAGTGTTAGAAGGTGCTTTTGCAATGTACCTGAACTACATACAAAAATGCTTTGAAGACTATAGAATGCTATTTTCATTGCAGACTGGTTTGTTAAAAAACTTACCAACTTCTGATGATGTTGTGAGCACTGCCTCTGGATAAACCACATTGACTGGGCTGGCAATAAATACAGATTGAGTAGCAACAGTGTATTTTGTCACATCACCATGGAAATCTTTGATGCTTGCACTTTTGAAGATTAACGTATCATTAGGTTTGATTGTTGCTTGTCTTCCCAACTTGATTGTAAATCTTCTAAGGCCACTGAACTTGCATATTGCTCCAGTGCCGAGCGTTGATATGTCAGAAAAGAAGCTGGAGCATGTGCTGGAAATGTCTACAGGCTTTGATGCCCTGTCTAGAATTATATCAATGAAGCCAAGGTTATCTTGAAATTTAGCACTAGTAATGTTAGCAGCGTAAGAAAATAGACTAACATTAACGTGTTTGGCCTTGTTGAATACTCTATCCACTGGTGACCAAGACAGTGTGAGAGACAAGTTAATTGATCTTCTTATTGCGGGGATATGGCATTTGACAGTAGTTGAACTGACAAAGGTTGCGTTGAGGTGCCGACCGTCCTGTGTTATACACTTCAAGTAGCTTGAGTTGAAAAATCCACTCCCTGTTATTGTGAGATCGAATGGAAAGCCAACTTCGTGTTCCACAGGCCTTCTTCCAGCGTAGCTTATTCCAGATTTGGAATAAATGTAAATGCTGTTCTTAGAGTCGTCTGTGAATTGAGGTACACGATCTTGTGCAGGGAAAGTACATCTGACTTTATAATCACCCACAGCGACAGAAAATGGCAGTTTGAGTGATACTCCAATGACTTTCGTGTTGAACTTTTCAAGCTTTGGTTCAGCAGCATCAATACTGCAAAAGTAGGAAAAATTTATCTTTTGCAAATTACTTTTTTCACAGATGCGGTACCCCTCAACATACCTTAACAATGTTTATCTACTCACTATCCGCCCTTATTCAAAACATGTTAACACGTGTAATAGTCCAAAGTGGGTAAATATAACAACTTTTTCTAGCTCCAAAAAAGGAGTCTACTTATTTCAGGTTGACGTTCGAGTCATATTTTAAATCCAAAACTGTTTGCAACTCACTTGAGAAATCGCGTAAAATCGAATCCCTTGTCTTTAAATGTCTTTAGAAAGGAGATGTTATTGGCCTAAAATTCACATGAACTATGCTATTTTACCAACTACCTCCGCTCCGCATTGAATATTGTTTGTTGCTAAAGTGCGTTTTGGGCTCAAAGTCTTATTGAGTAGATAAAAAACATTTATCTTGAAATGGAAGGGCAGAAGACACTGATATGGGTAGTAGCAAACAGAGTCCAGAAAGCATGACGGCTCCACGGCTGTGAGCCGGAGGAATGTTATGATCCAGTGATTAGTAGATTTTAGGATAGCCATGTATAACTTCACGAAAGTTTAAAAAGTGGGAAGAATTTACTGTTTCGCTTGAACCTTTCTTTTTCCTGACGAAGGGTAAAGAACAAACCATAGATGATTTTACTTGAATTCCATTTCTAAAACCTTTTCTTAAAGCATACAAGGAAAATTTTGAGGAAGGTAAATAATGCGAAAAATCATCCTAAAGAAAGTTTTCTGAACTCTGTAACAGAAACAATGTATTGGTTTCCTGCATTCCAAATTCCTGCGAATTTATCCGAAAACAACTTTTCCGAAGTTTTGCAGTGATGAGGGTATGGGGTATGTAACTCTATCCAGTCCCAAAGTCAGGATCTGATAAAAAGGAAGCAGTGCTAAAGAACTTACTTTTGAGAGGAAGATACAAGCTTGCAAGTGACACTTATAAATACGTCGATTCCAGCACCGTTGCAGCCAATTGCATATTGAGCATCATTCGGCAAAACAGTCACATTGCATCGGCCAAGTTTCCTACATCCAGTGTTGAAACTAGTGTCAGTGGGCAAACGGCAATCGCCACAAATGTCAATAACCCTTTCGCCATTCGGAAAGCCCGCACAGTCTTGGCAAGTTGCGTTATCTCCCATGCAAACGCCACACGCATCCTTTTCTGAAGAAGAATTACTGAGACCCGTACAAAAAAATGTAAAGAAAATAGCATCAAGAATGAAGACGCCATAGGCAACTGAAGGGAAAACACCACATTCTCCCAGTAATTAATCTAAGGTCCTCAATAGAAGGGAGAGAAGGGAGGACGCTTACTTATTTTTTCGATTTTTTTCTGAACCCCCGGAGCTTATTTGGACCCCCCTCCCGTTTATTAATTGTTATATTCAGTCTTTCATATCCCTTATTTCATCTGTCCTTTGTTCTTGCAGGTGTGAAATTTCTGTAAAGTTTCTTTTAAATGAAGAGTTTGCATTGTACAAAAGTTTTAACATAGAGAAGTAGTGATATCCTAAAAAAATGTACATAGGCCTGACTGATGTACACAATGATAATTAGCCTGCTCATTTTAGTAATACAAAAATACATTATTACATGGTGATAATTGTCATTTTGCTATCGATTGTATTCAGAAAAAAATCTCCTTTGACCCCTAAAAGGAATCATCACGTGATTTTCAAATTTTTCACATTTCCGAACCCCCCCCCCCCACTTACTAGGACCCCGCTTATTTATTTTCTGAAAAATTTCTGTCCCCCCCAACTATCAAGACCCCCCTTCTATTAAGGACCTTAGAGTAATCGCTACTTTAGTTTACCTATATATATATACATGTGCTTACATGAGCGGCTAAAAAATCGTTTTAATCTTACACTTACTGTGATTCAGAGGCAAGCCAGTAGTCCCCCCAACACAGTATCCGCAAGCATTGACAAAAGCAGCTCCATTACACAACCCAGTACAGTCAGTGAAGCTCTTGGGATTAGCTTTGTTGATGCAGTTGCCACACGAATCTGTGTAGAACTCACCACATGTTCCTGCGCAATCCATCATGAAATTGAAGGCTAAACCTGTAGTTCCCAGAACACAATTGCGGCAACTATCTATAATGGCATTCCCATTATAAGTTCCATGGCAGTCACGAAGGAGATCTGGATTATCTTTGTTGATGCAGTTGCCCCACGAATCTACGTAAAGTAAAAAAATTTGATTTATCTTGGTATGATTGCTATTTTCTCTAGAACTATGCACGAAACTGAAAACAAAATTTCACAGTCTACTCTATAAGATACGGCAAGTTCAAATAAAGTTAGCAGTTGAGAATAAAATGTTTGGTTCAAGCTTTATCTGCGATTGAAATGTCAGTTTTCATTTTGCAGCTCGATTTTTTTCCTCAAAAATTTTGCAAGTCGAAACTTTGAGTGCCATTCGAGCGCTCAAAATTTTTTCAAATCTTCAAAAAACTTGTTTTTATGGTGTGGTTGATTTTCTAATTGATAAATTTGATTTTTCTTAGTTCTGGATTTTCATTGTTTTTTGTAAAATTACAACCGTACAAACACGTTCCTGCGCAATCCTTCAAGTAATTGTAGGCTAAACCTGTAGACCCATTTGTACACTTGTTGCAATCATCTGCAAACATATGATATGGAACTTTTTGATAAAATAACTTTTTGATATAATCAGGCAATAATAATGGCAAACCAATAGCACTTGCAGCAGTGCCATCACTACGGAGAGTGTGGGGGAGTGGCATCCCACTTTGAAACAAAATTCAGTGTTAAAACGAGAAGTTTTTACCATCCAGAGGCATTTCGTCGACTATTCTTCAGATTTATCGGCAATAAAGGATGGTTCACCAATTTTGTCAGCAAATGCGAACGGAGCACCCCCCCCCTCTCCCCCTTTGAGCATAACAGCTGGCGACGGCCCTGACTAGCAGTGTCTCAAACCCTTGGACCAAAATCATGCTCGTTGACCTTTTCCCTAATTCCATAAACAATTGTCGGAAACCTAGCCTAGTTAGTCTTAATTCCGACGTAGATTTATATAAAAACAACAATACAAGATCTAACATGCAGAGGACTGTATTCTTGATAAATGAATTATCAATATGTAATATACACTGACATAGATTCGCTTTGTCAAACTGTCTTAGATTATTATAGTAGCTAGTACTCAGTCTAGAGCCCAGTGTGCCTCGAGCACAATAATGCTTTCAAACACAAAAATGAAATAGTGAATTTATACTATTTCTTAAGATATTTCTAGAATCGTTACATAATGTGTTATACGAAAGAAATTACAGCACAAGTGAATATAAGCGAAAATCCTTTAGTAAAAATACTTATTACGCAATCACCACAGTAACCTAAAAACAAATATTACCCCGCAGAGTTCTAGAATATTAATGTAGTTACGAATATGTCAATTTTGCCTCAGGCTCCGCGAAGAAGGGGGGTTGGGGAGTGCTATAGCATAATATCTAAATTTGAGCATTAAAAAGCTATTATAAAAATTTACCAATAACAGCATGGCAGTCATTGCATCGCTTGTAAATATCATTCTCCACTGAGGAGCATTCTCCACAGCTGTTCAATTCCATCTTTGAGCCTGGCTGTTTGTCACAACCACTTATCTTCATTTGAGTAAGCACAAAGTACATGCAACAAGTAAATCTCTTTGAATCGGAACAATATCCTGCGGCACTTTGACCAATTCTGACTGTCCGCATTCCGCTCTTCTTGGTATCTGACATATCCCAGCCAACTGCCCGCAGAGAGGCATTTCTCATTGCTTCTAGCTCTGTCCACGTCGATCCTGAAAGTTTGGCAGGGTTGAAGCGAATCCTTGTTGTTTCATTGAGAAATAATGCAGGCACATCATTGTTTGCTTTGACTACTGGAAAGGTTCTAAGTTCAATCTTATGCCAGGGTCCATTCGGATAATTTTGGTATTCGTAATACCCTATATTTGAATCAGCTGAAGCATATACGATTGCCATGCCTAAAAGGTAGGACAAAAATACAGATTAGAGGCACTAGCGTAGCGAGGGGGCAAGGGGGCGGCCGCTCCTCCTCCCAATGTTCAGAAAGTTGGTGCCTGAGAAAAGTGCAAATCTGCAATAAAATTTGTACCTTAGGGGGGGGGAGGTGATATTTAAGACAAAATTAAGATATATTAAAAAAATGCAAACAACTGTGAGAAATATTCTGAAATAAATGATAAATCATTGCTAACAATTAGCCATTTCGCTACGCAAGCATTCCATAATGCATTTTCAGACAATCTGAAATCAAATTTGATTAATCCGTAGAAGTTTACTGCCATTGTTAAGCCCCGGCCAAACGAGCCAGCATTTCAGCCAACATTTAAAGGGCCACTCCAGCCCAAAATTTTTATTTCAGAACACGATGTAATAAGACCTCCTGAAAACGAATCTGTTATTATTTTTTTCATATCTCTAACCGTTTTGTAGTTATTAGCGTTTGTAAAATGGTCATTGAGTTGAATTGTTTTTCAACCGTGATATCGGAGATCTTCGGATTGACGTCACAGGCATTTTCGGCCTCGTTAAGTTCGCGGCAAGTATCATCGGCTGCCCAAAGGTCAACGAGAACCTAGCGAAATGGCAGACAGGGCCTAGCAGCGGCATGTTTGTTAGAAGGCCAGACTTTTATCTGGAATCGATATAAAGAGAGAAGTATCGTCCATCAGTCTTGATGTTCTGATCGAATATGGAAGTTTTTTATCGCACGAATCTTTCTGACAGAGAAGTCAAATTGTCAAAGTAGGCCAGCGAGACAGAGACATGAGGATGTTGACAGACTTTCGTGGAATGTTGCTTTTGAAGCAATTTATATTGGCAGGCCAGTTCCCTGATT